CAGCGATTGAGCTCAAGATTGAGCGGTGGGTATGAACGCGAGATTCATTGTCATTGTGCTGCTGGGAACTAAAACAGCGAAGAAATTCTTTAGCTGGTTAGCGTTTAATTAGTTAACAATTGAATGTAACGACACGGCGATTTTGCATGATCTGTCAAATAGTTTTCTCCCACGCAGAACTTCCACATCTGGAAATGCTAATATTAGCCATTGGCGAAAACCTTTCGGCATGCAGGTTTTCGTAGTGTAACGGTCATAAGCGGCCTTCGGCCTCGGGGCGCTTTTGAGACCTCGGGAAAATATTTTTTTAGTACAGACCTCGCAGTCGGTAAATAACATATATTTATTTTGTTTCCGCACTAGTGTGAAATATGTTAACAAAACACAAAATAGAAATAACTTGGAACAACATTTTGGTTTTTAATCAACATTTCGGCTGGTTTGTAGTCATTCTCAGGATTAAGAATTGCCCCAATATATTCAACGGCTTCACGAAATAATTTTAAAATATATTGTCACGAGTGGGTTTCGAACCCACGCCCACATTAGTAGACCAGAACGCCCTTTGGCTGTCCATTAGCGGAACGAGTTTGGAAACTTGAGTCTGGCACCTTAGACCGCTCGGCCATCCTGACAGCTGACAACCTTTGTGCCTACTGTACTTGACGTCATTTTACTTTCTTTAATAATGGAGAAAAAATATTTCATTTAAACCAGAAAAATACATCCACTGCACCTAACTCAACAATCGTTTCTTACATCGCACGTCAGTGTTCCTTCTATTGCATCAAAAGAAGAATCAAAATTGCCTTCTGCGGGAGGAACACATGAATGAATTTTCACTCAATGTTGAACGTTTGAAATTGGGGAAGTTTGCAAAAGATTCCGAGCATGCGCTTGTTTCTGTAGTGTTGCGGTCATCACATGGCCTCTGTGCGCGCAACGTCCCCAGTTCGATCCCGGGCAGAAGAATGCATTTGGTATTTAATTTACAGAAAATGAAAAGAGCAAATTTCTGCAGCTGTAGTGTAGTGGTCATCACGTGCCCTTCACACGCGCAACGTCTCCAGTTCGAACCTGGGCGGAAACATAGTAAATATGCTGCGAAGCCAGACTGTTTATTATCAAATTTTAACTTGCGTACATGATCGATTGTTAAAATATACACCAATTTTTATAGACTGTTTATTGGTGACACACGTTACGGGTTGGACAATCAACTTTTCCGTACATTGCTTCCATTTCCACCGTTTCCCCATCGAAGGGAGAAGAACTTGCGCATTATTTATTACCTGTTCTAGGTTAATTTTCCCTAAAAACTGTTTCATGCTAAACTCTGATTAATGCATTGACGGGCAGTGCAGATCTGCCCTACCGCCCAATATTTAGCGAAGCAATAAATATGACAACTGTTTCCTGCGATTGATCTCAAGATTGCGTGATGGGGAGAACGCGAGATTCACTGTCAATGTGCTGCTTCAAACTGACACCACGAAGATATTTTTTAGCTGATTAGCATTTAATTATTTAAAAATTAATTGGATCGCCTGAGCGATTTTCCCTGATATATCAAGTAGTTTTCTACCAGGTAAAACTTCCACATCTGGGAATGAATTAGCCATGCATTGGCGAACATTTATCGCCATGCAGGTATCCGTTGTGTAGTGGTCATCACGTGCGCCTAACACGCGAAAGGTCCCAAGTTCGATCCTGGGCGGAAACAAAGGATTGATAGAAAACGTACAACTTGCCCTTAAACATAAAATTTTAAAAAAGTACTTTAAATGCCAAGTTTAAAGACACTTCCTAGGCCTATTTCGGTCAAATGTTTTTTATAAAACTTGTAATGAACAAATTGTTTTTCGACAACTAAAATTTTTATTTTTCAGTCAAAAAGCATTTTTCAAGCCGTGAGACGCTCTTGAGGACGTGGGAAAGTACGGAAGGAACTAAACGGTAAATAACTTGTTCATTTTGTTTATTTGATATATTGTTCACGCTTTTAATGAATACCGATAAAATTCCAGTTGTTGTAAGTACATTTAAAATCAGTTGCGTGTGTTACTTTAGTGCAAGCATGGCTGAGAAACTGCTAAAACGACGCCATATAAGTTGCATAAAAAGCTTTTAGTTTCATTGAAATGGATGCTTTTATACTCAACAAGAAAACAGAATGTAAACTAAGTAAAAATATTTATATTCCGGTTTGTTTTAATATCATGGACATGCTTGAAAAATGCTTTTTGACAGAAAAATACAAATTTTAGTTGCCGAAAAACAATTTGTTCTTTACAACTTTTAGAAAAACCATTTTGACACCCAGGATCGAACTGGGGACCTTGCGCGTGTTAGGCGCACGTTATGCCAATAAATGTTCGCCAATGGCTAATTCATTCCCAGCTGAGAAAGTTTTACCTGGAAGAAAACTTCCTGATATATCATGGAAAATCGCTGTGTCGATCTAATTAATTTTTAAATAATTAAATGCTAATCAGCTAAAAAATTTCTTCGTGGTGTCAGTTTGAAGCCGCACATTAATAGTGTATCTCGCGTTCGCCCATCACTCATGAGATCTTGAGATCAATCGCGGGAAACAGCTGTCATGCTTATTGATTCGTTAAATATTGGGCGGTAGGCCAGATCTCGACTGCCTGTCAATGCATTAGTCAGTGTTTAGCATGAAACAGTTTTTAGGGAAGATTATGCTAGAACAGGTAATAAATAACGCGCAAGTTCTTCTCTCTTCGTTGGCTAAAACGGTGGAAATGGAAGCAATAGAAGGAAAAGTTGATTCTACAACCCGTATCGCGCGTCACAAATTAACTGTCTTTAAAATTTGGTTTACCTTTTCACAATCGATCATGTACGCAAGTTAAAATTTGATAAGAAACAGCCTGACCTCGCAACACATTTACTATGTTTCCGCCCAGGCTAGAACTGGGGTCCTTGCGCGTGTGAAGCGCACGTGATGACCACTACACTACAGAAACTTGGCTGGCGAAGCACGAGTTCAGTGCGTTGCTGAATTTTGCTCTTTTTATTTTCTGTAAATAAAACACCAAATGCATGCTTCTGCCCAGGATCGAAATGGGGAACTTGCGCGGGTAAAGCGCATGTGATGACCGCTAAACTACAGAAACAAGCGCATGTTTGGAACTCTTTGCAAACTTCACCAGTTTCAAAGGTTCGAAGTCGTCTGAAAATTCGTTCATTTGATCCTTCCCCTGAAGTGAATTTTAATTCTTCTGTTGAAGCAATAGAAGGAGCACTGACGTGCGATGAGAGAAACGATGTTCAGTTAGTTGCAGTCGGATATATTTTCTGGTTTAAATGAAACATTTTTTCTCCATTACATTCGAAAGTAAAATAACGTAAAGTACAGTAGGCACAAGGGTTGTCAGCTGTCAGGATGTCCGAGCGGTCTAAAGCGCCAGACTCAAGTTTCAAAACTTTCTCCGCTAATGTGCAGCCAAAGGGCGTTCTGGTCCACTAATGTAAGCGTGGGTTCGAATCCCATTCCTGACAGAGAATTTTAAAATTATTTCGTGAGGCCGTTGAATATATTGGTGCAATTCTTAATCCCGAGGATGACTGCAAACCATTCTAAACGTTGATTTAAAAACAAAATGTTGTTTCTCTTTCCATCAATCCATGGTTTCCGTCCAGGATCGAACTGGGAACCTTGCGCGTGTGAAGCGCACGTGATGACCACTACACTACAGAAACTTGGCTGGTGAAGCACGAGTTCATTGCGTTGCTAAAGTTTGCTCTTTTAATTCTATTGAAATAAAAACCAAATGCATGCTTCTGCTCAGAATCGAACTGGAAACTTTGCGCGCGTAAAGCGCATGTGATGACCGCTACAATACGGGAACAAGCGCACCTTCGGAACCCTAGGCAAACTTTCTCAGTTTCAAACGTTCAAAATTGACTGAAAAATCGTTCATTTCAACCTCCCGCATCAGCCAATTTTGATTTTTCCGTTGAAGCAATAGAAGGACCACTGACGTGCGATGAGAGAAACGATGTTCAGTTAGTTGCAGTCGGATATATTTTCTGGTTTAATAAATGAAACATTTTTTCTCCATCATATTAGAAAGTAAAATGACCTAATGTACAGTAGGCACAAGGGTTGTCAGCTGTAAGGATGGCCGAGCGGTCTAAGGCGCCAGACTCAAGTTTCAAAACTTGCTCTGCTAATGCGCAGCCAAGGGGCGTTCTGGTCCACTAATGCGGGCGTGCGTTCGAATCCCACTCCAGACAGATAATTTTAAAATTATTTCATTTGGCCGTTGAATATATTGCTGCAATTCTTAATCCCGAGGGTGGCTACAAACCAGTCTAAACGTTGATTTAAAAACAAAATGTTGTTCGTTTCCCATTAAACTATTGTTTCCGCCCAGGATCGAACTGGGGATCTTGCGCGTGTTAGGCGCACGTGATGACCGCTACACTACGGAAACCTGCATGCCGATAAATGTTCGCCAATGGCCAATTCATTACCAGATGAGAACGTTTTACCTAGGAGAAAACTTCTCAATGTATCATGAAAAATCGCTGTGTCGATCTAGTTAATTTCTAAATAATTAAATGCTAATCTGCTAAAACATTTCCTCGTGGGGTCAGTTTGAAGTAGGACATTGAAAGTTAATCTCGAATTTTTCCCTTCACTCAATCTTGAGATCAATCGCGGGAAACAGCTCTCATATTTATTGCTTCGTTAAATATTGGGCGGTGGGTCAGATCTCGACAGCCCTTCAATGCATTAATCAGTGTTTAGCTTCAAACAGTTTTTAGGGAAGATTAAGCTAGAACAGGTAATAAATAACGCGCAAAGTATTCTCTCTTCCTTGGCTAAAACGGTGGAAATGGAAGCAATAGAAGGAAAAGTTGATTCTGCAACCCGTATCGCGCGTTACAAATTAACTGTCTTTAAAAGTTGGTTTACCTTTTCACAATCGGTCATGTACGCAAGTTCAAATTTGATAATAAACAGCCTGACTTCGCAACACATTTACTATGTTTCCGCCACGGCTCGAACTGGGGTCCTTGCGCGTGTGAAGCGCACGTGATGACCACTATTCTTCAGAAAGTGGCTGGCGAAGCACGAGTTCAGTGCGTTGCTGTATTTTGCTCTTTTCAGTTTCTGTAAATAAAACACCAAATGCATGCTTCTGCCCAGGATCGAACTGGGGACCTTGCGCGCGTAAAGCGCATGTGATGACCGCTACACTACAGAAACAAGCGCATGCTCGGAAATCTTTGCAAACTTCACCAGTTTCAAATGTTCGAAATTGACTGAAAATTCGTTCATTTGATCCTCTCCCAGCAGCCAATTTTGATTTTTCCGTTGAAGCAATAGAACGACCACTGACGTGCGATGAGAGAAACGATGTTCAGTTAGTTGCAGTCGGATATATTTTCTGGTTTAAATGAAACATTTTTTCTCCATTATATAAGAAAGTAAAATGACCTAATGTACAGTAGGCACAAGGGTTGTCAGCTGTAAGGATGGCCGAGCGGTCTAAGGCGCCAGACTCAAGTTTCAAAACTGGCTTCGCTAATGCGCAGCCAAACGGCGTTCTGGTCCACTAATGTGGGCGTGGGTTCGAATCCCACTCCTGACAGAGAATTTTAAAATTATTTCATGAGGCCGTTGAATATATTGCTGCAATTCTTAACCCCGACGATGACTTCAAACCAGTCTAAACGTTGATTTAAAAACAAAATTTTGTTCGTTTTCCATCAAACTATTGTTTCCGCCCAGGATCGAACTGGGGACCTTGGGCGTGTTAGGCGCACGTGATGACCACTACAGTACAGAAACTTGGCCTGTAAAGCACGAGTTCAGTGCGTTGCTAAATTTTGCTCTTTTCATTTTCTGTAAATAAAACACCAAATGCATGCTTCTTCCCAGGATCGAGCTGGGGACCTTGGGCGCGTCAAGCGCATGTGATGACTACTACACTACAGAAACAAGCGCATGTTCGGAACTCTTTCCAAACTTCCCGAGTTTCAAACGTTCGTAATTGACTGAAAATTCGTTCATTTGATCCTCCGGCAGCAGCCAATTTTGATTCTTCTGTTGAAGCAATAGAAGGAGCGCTGACGTGCGATGAGAGAAACGATGTTCAGTTAGTTGCAGTCGGATATATTTTCGGGTTTAAATGAAACATTTTTTCTCCATTATATAAGAAAGTAAAATGACGTAAAGTACAGTTGGCACAAGGGTTGTCAGCTGTCAGGATGGCCGAGCGGTCTAAGGCGCCAGACTCAAGTTTCACAACTTGCTCCGCTAATGCGCAGCCAAAGGGCGATCTGTTCCACTAATGTTGGCGTGGGTTCGAATGAAACTCCTGACAGAGAATTTAAAAATTATGTCGTGAGGCCGATGAATATATTGGTGCAATTCTTAATCCCGAGGATGACTACAAACCAGTCTAAACGTGGATTTAAAAACAAATTATTGTTCGTTTTCCATCAAACTATTGTTTCCGCCCAGGATCGAACTGGGGACCTTGCGCGTGTTAGGCGCACGTGATGACCGCTACACTACGGAAACCTGCATGCCGATTAATGTTCGCTAATGGCCAACTCATTAGCAGCTGAGAAAGTTTTACCTAGGAGAAAACTTCTCAATGTATCATGAAAAATCGCTGTGTCGATCTAGTTAGTTTTTAAATAATTAAATGCTAATCAGTAAAAAAATTTCTTCGTGGTGTCAGTTTGAAGCAGCACATTGAAAGTGAATCTCCTGTTTTCCCCTTTCCTCAATTTTGAAATCAATCGCGGGTAACAGCTGTCATATTTATTGCTTCGTTAAATATTGGGCGGTAGGGCAGATCTCGACTGCACTTCAATGCATTAATCAGTGTTTAGCTTGAAACAGTTAATAGCGAAGATTATGCTAGAACAGGTAATAAATAACGCGCAAGGTGTTCTCTCTTCGTTGGCTAAAACGGTAGAAATGGAAGGAATAGAAGGAAAAGTTGATTCTGCAACCCGTATCGCGCGTTACAAATTAACTGTCTTTAAAAGTTGGTCTACCTTTTCACAATCGGTCATGTACCCAAGTTAAAATTTTATAATAAACAGCCTGACTTCGCAACACATTTACTATGTTTCCGCCACGGCTTGAACTGGGGTCCTTGCGCGTGTGAAGCGCACGTGATGACCACTATTCTATAAAATTGGCTGGCAAAGCACGAGTTCAGTGCGTTGATGAAATTTGCTCTTTTCAATTTCTGTAAATAAAACACCAAATGCATGCTTCTGCCCAGGATCGAACTGGGGACCTTGCGCGCGTAAAGCGCATGTGATGACCGCTAGACTACAGAAACAAGCGCATGTTGGAAACCCTTTGCAAACTTCCTCAGTTTCAAACGTTCAAAATTGACTGAAAACTCGTTCATTTGATCCTCCCGCAGCAGCCAATTTTAATTCGTCTGTTGAAGCAATAGAAGGAGCACTGACGTGCGATGAGAGAAACGATGTTCAGTTAGTTGCAGTCGGATATAATTTCGGGTTTAAATGAAACATTTTTTCTCCATTATATACGAAAGTAAAATGACGTAATGTACAGTAGGCAGAAGAGTTGTCAGCTGTCAGGGTGGCCGAGCGGTCTAAGGCGCCAGACTCAAGTTTCAAAACTTGCTCCGCTAATGTGCAGGCAAAGGGCGTTCTGGTCCACTAATGTGGGCGTGTGTTCGAATCCCACTCCTGACAGTAACTTTAAAATTATTTCGTGAGGCCGTTGCATATATTGGTGCAATTGTTAATTCCGAGGATGACTACAAACCAGTCTAAACGTCGATTTAAAAACAAAATGTTGTTCGTTTTCCATCAATCCATTGTTTCCGCCCAGGATCGATCTGGTACCTTGCGCGTGTGAAGCGCTCGTTATGACCACTACTCTACAGAAACTTGGGTGGTGAAGCACGGGGTCAGTGCGTTGCTGAATTATGCTCTTTTCATTTCATGGAAATAAAAACCAAATCCATGCTTCTGCCCAGGGTCGAACTGGGAACCTTGCGCGCCTAAAGCGCAAGTGATGACCGCTACAATACGGAAACAAGGGCATTGTCGGAACCTATGCAAACTTCCTCAGTTTCAAACGTTCAAAATTGACTGAAAATTTGTTTATTTGATCCTTCCGCAGCAGCCAAATTTTGATTTTTCCGTCGAAGCAATAGAAGGACCACTGATGTGCGATGAGATAAACGATGTTCAGGTATTTGCAGTCGGATATATTTTCTGGTTTAAATGAAACATTTTTTCTCCATTATATAAGAATGTAAAATGACCTAATGTACAGTAGGCACAAGGGTTGTCAGCTGTAAGGATGGCCGAACGGTCTAAGGCGCCAGACTCAAGTTTCAAAACTTGCTCTGCTAATGCGCAGCCAAGGGGCGTTCTGGTCCACTAATGTGGTCGTGCGTTCGAATCCCACTCCAGACAGATAATTTTAAAATTATTTCGTTTGGCCGTTGAATATATTGCTGCAATTCTTAATCCCGAGGATGACTACAAACCAGTCTAAACGTTGATTTAAAAACAAAATGTTGTTCGTTTCCCATTAAACTATTGTTTCCGCCCAGAATCGAACTGGGGACCTTGCGCGTGTTAGGCGCACGTGATGACCGCTACACTACGGAAACCTGCATGCCGATAAATGTTCGCCAATGGCCAATTCATTACCAGATGAGAAAGTTTTACCTAGGAGAAAACTTCTCAATGTATCATGAAAAATCGCTGTGTCGATCTAGTTAATTTCTAAATAATTAAATGCTAATCAGCTAAAACATTTCCTCGTGGGGTCAGTTTGAAGCAGCACATTGAAAGTGAATCTCGAGTTTTCCCCTTCACTCAATCTTGAGATCAATCGCGGGAAACAGTTGTCATATTTATTGCTTCGTTAAATATTGGGCGGTAGGTCAGATCTCGACAGCCCTTCAATGCATTAATCAGTGTTTAGCTTCGAACAGTTTTTAGCGAAGATTAAGCTAGAACAGGTAATAGATAACGCGCAAGGTGTTCTCTCTTCCTTGGCTAAAACGGTGGAAATGGAAGCAATAGAAGGAAAAGTTGATTCTGCAACCCGTATCGCGCGTTACAAATTAACTGTCTTTAAAAGTTGGTTTACCTTTTCACAATCGGTCATGTACGCAAATTAAAATTTGATAATAAACAGCCTGACTTCGCAACACATTTACTATGTTTCCGCCACGGCTTGAACTGGGGTCCTTGCGCGTGTGAAGCGCACGTGATGACCACTATTCTTCAGAAAGTGGCTGGCAAAGCACGAGTTCAGTGCGTTGCTGAATTTTGCTCTTTTCATTTTCTGTAAATAAAACACCAAATGCATGCTTCTGCCCAGGATCGAACTGGGGACCTTGCGCGCGTAAAGCGCATGTGATGACCGCTACACTACAGAAACAAGCGCATGCACGGAACTCTTTGCAAACTTTCTCAGTTTCAAACGTTCAAAATTGACAGAAATTTCGTTCATTTGATCCTCTCCCAGCAGCCAATTTTGATTTTTCCGTTGAAGCAATAGAAGGAGCACTGACGTGCGATGAGAGAAACGATGTTCAGTTAGTTGCAGTCGGATATATTTTCTGGTTTAAATGAAACATTTTTTCTCCATTATATAAGAAAGTAAAATGACCTAATGTACAGTAGGCACAAGGGTTGTCAGCTGTAAGGATGGCCGAGCGGTCTAAGGCGCCAGACTCAAGTTTCAAAACTGGCTCCGCTAATGCGCAGCCAAACGGCGTTCTGGTCCACTAATGTGGGCGTGGGTTCGAATCCCACTCCTGACAGAGAATTTTAAAATTATTTCATGAGGCCGTTGAATATATTGGTGCAATTCTTAACCCCGACGATGACTTCAAACCAGTCTAAACGTTGATTTAAAAACAAAATTTTGTTCGTTTTCCATCAAACTATTGTTTCCGCCCAGGATCGAACTGGGGACCTTGCGCGTGTTAGGCGCACGTGATGACCACTACAGTACAGAAACTTGGCCGGTGAAGCACGAGTTCAGTGCGTTGCTAAATTTTGCTCTTTTCATTTTCTGTAAATAAAACACCAAATGCATGCTTCTGCCCAGGATCGAACTGGGGACCTTGGGCGCGTAAAGCGCATGTGATGACTGCTACACTACAGAAACAAGCGCATGTTCGGAACTCTTTCCAAACTTCCCCAGTTTCAAACGTTCGTAATTGACTGAAAATTCGTTCATTTGATCCTCCGGCAGCAGCCAATTTTGATTCTTCTGTTGAAGCAATAGAAGGAGCGCTGACGTGCGATGAGAGAAACGATGTTCAGTTAGTTGCAGTCGGATATATTTTCGGGTTTAAATGAAACATTTTTTCTCCATTATATACGAAAGTAAAATGACGTAAAGTACAGTTGGCACAAGGGTTGTCAGCTGTCAGGATGGCCGAGCGGTCTAAGGCGCCAGACTCAAGTTTCACAACTTGCTCCGCTAATGCGCAGCCAAAGGGCGATCTGTTCCACTAATGTTGGCGTGGGTTCGAATGAAACTCCTGACAGAGAATTTAAAAATTATGTCGTGAGGCCGATGAATATATTGGTGCAATTCTTAATCCCGAGGATGACTACAAACCAGTCTAAACGTGCATTTAAAAACAAATTATTGTTCGTTTTCCATCAAACTATTGTTTCCGCCCAGGATCGAACTGGGGACCTTGGGCGTGTTAGGCGCACGTGATGACCGCTACACTACGGAAACCTGCATGCCGATTAATGTTCGCTAATGGCCAACTCATTAGCAGCTGAGAAAGTTTTACCTAGGAGAAAACTTCTCAATGTATCATGAAAAATCGCTTTGTCGATCTAGTTAGTTTTTAAATAATTAAATGCTAATCAGTAAAAAAATTTCTTCGTGGTGTCAGTTTGAAGCAGCACATTGAAAGTGAATCTCCTGTTTTCCCCTTTCCACAATTTTTGAAATCAATCGCGGGTAACAGCTGTCATATTTATTGCTTCGTTAAATATTGGGCGGTAGGGCAGATCTCGACTGCACTTCAATGCATTAATCAGTGTTTAGCTTGAAACAGTTAATAGCGAAGATTATGCTAGAACAGGTAATAAATAACGCGCAAGGTGTTCTCTCTTCGTTGGCTAAAACGGTAGAAATGGAAGGAATAGAAGGAAAAGTTGATTCTGCAACCCGTATCGCGCGTTACAAATTAACTGTCTTTAAAAGTTGGTCTACCTTTTCACAATCGGTCATGTACCCAAGTTAAAATTTTATAATAAACAGCCTGACTTCGCAACACATTTACTATGTTTCCGCCACGGCTTGAACTGGGGTCCTTGCGCGTGTGAAGCGCACGTGATGACCACTATTCTATAAAATTGGCTGGCAAAGCACGAGTTCAGTGCGTTGATGAAATTTGCTCTTTTCAATTTCTGTTAATAAAACACCAAATGCATGCTTCTGCCCAGGATTGAACTGGGGACCTTGCGCGCGTAAAGCGCATGTGATGACCGCTAGACTACAGAAACAAGCGCATGTTGGAAACCCTTTGCAAACTTCCTCAGTTTCAAACGTTCAAAATTGACTGAAAACTCGTTCATTTGATCCTCCCGCAGCAGCCAATTTTAATTCGTCTGTTGAAGCAATAGAAGGAGCACTGACGTGCGATGAGAGAAACGATGTTCAGTTAGTTGCAGTCGGATATAATTTCGGGTTTAAATGAAACATTTTTTCTCCATTATATACGAAAGTAAAATGACGTAATGTACAGTAGGCAGAAGAGTTGTCAGCTGTCAGGGTGGCCGAGCGGTCTAAGGCGCCAGACTCAAGTTTCAAAACTTGCTCCGCTAATGTGCAGGCAAAGGGCGTTCTGGTCCACTAATGTGGGCGTGGGTTCGAATCCCACTCCTGACAGTAATTTTAAAATTATTTCGTGAGGCCGTTGCATATATTGGTGCAATTGTTAATTTCGAGGATGACTACAAACCAGTCTAAACGTCGATTTAAAAACAAAATGTTGTTCGTTTTCCATCAATCCATTGTTTCCGCCCAGGATCGAACTGGTACCTTGCGCGTGTGAAGCGCCCGTTATGACCACTACTCTACAGAAACTTGGCTGGTGAAGCACGAGGTCAGTGCGTTGCTGAATTATGCTCTTTTCATTTCATGGAAATAAAAACCAAATCCATGCTTCTGCCCAGGGTCGAACTGGGAACCTTGCGCGCCTAAAGCGCAAGTGATGACCGCTACAATACGGAAACAAGCGCATTGTCGGAACCTATGCAAACTTCCTCAGTTTCAAACGTTCAAAATTGACTGAAAATTCGTTCATTTGATCCTTCCGCAGCAGCCAAATTTTAATTCTTCTGTTGAAGCAATAGAAGGACCACTGACGTGCGATGAGATAAACGATGTTCAGGTATTTGCAGTCGGATATATTTTCTGGTTTAAATGAAACATTTTTTCTCCATTATATAAGAATGTAAAATGACCTAATGTACAGTAGGCACAAGGGTTGTCAGCTGTAAGGATGGCCGAGCCGTCTAAGGCGCCAGACTCAAGTTTCAAAACTTGCTCTGCTAATGTGCAGCCAAGGGGCGTTCTGGTCCACTAATGTGGGCGTGCGTTCGAATCCCACTCCAGACAGGTAATTTTAAAATTATTTCGTTTGGCCGTTGAATATATTGCTGCAATTCTTAATCCCGAGGATGACTACAAACCAGTCTAAACGTTGATTTAAAAACAAAATGTTGTTCGTTTCCCATTAAACTATTGTTTCCGCCCAGAATCGAACTGGGGACCTTGCGCGTGTTAGGCGCACGTGATGACCGCTACACTACGGAAACCTGCATGCCGATAAATGTTCGCCAATGGCCAATTCATTACCAGATGAGAAAGTTTTACCTAGGAGAAAACTTCTCAATGTATCATGAAAAATCGCTGTGTCGATCTAGTTAATTTCTAAATAATTAAATGCTAATCAGCTAAAACATTTCCTCGTGGGGTCAGTTTGAAGCAGCACATTGAAAGTGAATCTCGAGTTTTCCCCTTCACTCAATCTTGAGATTAATCGCGGGAAACAGCTGTCATATTTATTGCTTCGTTAAATATTGGGCGGTAGGTCAGATCTCGACAGCCCTTCAATGCATTAATCAGTGTTTAGCTTCGAACAGTTTTTAGCGAAGATTAAGCTAGAACAGGTAATAAATAACGCGCAAGGTGTTCTCTCTTCCTTGGCTAAAACGGTGGAAATGGAAGCAATAGAAGGAAAAGTTGATTCTGCAACCCGTATCGCGCGTTACAAATTAACTGTCTTTAAAAGTTGGTTTACCTTTTCACAATCGGTCATGTACGCAAATTAAAATTTGATAATAAACAGCCTGACTTCGCAACACATTTACTATGTTTCCGCCACGGCTCGAACTGGGGTCCTTGCGCGTGTGAAGCGCACGTGATGACCACTATTCTTCAGAAAGTGGCTGGCAAAGCACGAGTTCAGTGCGTTGCTGAATTTTGCTCTTTTCATTTTCTGTAAATAAAACACCAAATGCATGCTTCTGCCCAGGATCGAACTGGGGACCTTGCGCGCGTAAAGCGCATGTGATGACCGCTACACTACAGAAACAAGCGCATGCACGGAACTCTTTGCAAACTTTCTCAGTTTCAAACGTTCAAAATTGACAGAAATTTCGTTCATTTGATCCTCTCCCAGCAGCCAATTTTGATTTTTCCGTTGAAGCAATAGAACGACCACTGACGTGCGATGAGAGAAACGATGTTCAGTTAGTTGCAGTCGGATATATTTTCTGGTTTAAATGAAACATTTTTTCTCCATTATATAAGAAAGTAAAATGACCTAATGTACAGTAGGCACAAGGGTTGTCAGCTGTCAGGATGGCCGAGCGGTCTAAGGCGCCAGACTCAAGTTTCAAAACTTGCTCCGCTAATGCGCAGCCAAAGGGCGTTCTGGTCCACTAATGTGGGCGTGGGTTCGAATCCCACTCCTGACAGAGAATTTTAAAATTATTTCATGAGGCCGTTGAATAAATTGGTGCAATTCTTAATCCCGACGATGACTTCAAACCAGTCTAAACGTTGATTTAAAAACAAAATTTTGTTCGTTTTCCGTCAAACTATTGTTTCCGCACAGGATCGAACTGGGGACCTTGCGCGTGTTAGGCGCACGTGATGACCGCTACACTACAGAAACCTGCATGCCGATAAATGTTCGCCAATGGCCAATACATTACCAGATTAGAAAATTTTATCTAAGAGAAAACTTCTCAATGTATCATGAAAAATCGTTGTGTCGATCTAGTTAATTTTTAAATAATTAAATGCTAATCAGCTAAAAAATTTCTTCATGATGTCAGTTTGAAGCAGCACATTGAAAGTGAATTTCGAGTTTTCCCCTTCACTCAATCTTGAGATCAATCGCGGGAAACAGCTGTCATATTTATTGCTTCGTTAAATATTGGGTGGTAGGGCAGATCTCGGCTGCCCTTCATTGCATTAATCAGTGTTTAGCTTGAAACAGTTTTTAGCGAAGATTACGCTAGAACAGGTAATAAATAACGCACAAGGTGTTCTCTCTTCGTTGGCTAAAACTTTGGAAATGGAAGGAATAGAAGGAAATGTTGATTCTGCAACCCGTATCGCGCGTTACAAATTAACTGTCTTTAAAAGTTGGTATACCTTTTCCAATCGGTCATGTTCCCAAGTTAAAATTTGATAATAAACAGCCTGACTTCGCAACACATTTACTATGTTTCCGCTCAGTCTCGAACTGGGGTCCTTGCGCGTGTGAAGCGCACGTGATGACCACTATTCTGCAGAAATTGGCTGGCGAAGCACGAGTTCAGTGCGTTGCTGAATTTTGCTCTTTTCATTTTCTGTAAATAAAACACCAAATGCATGCTTCTGCCCAGGATCGAACTGGGGAACTTGCGCGGGTAAAGCGCATGTGATGACCGCTAAACTACAGAAACAAGCGCATGTTTGGAACTCTTTGCAAACTTCCCCAGTTTCAAAGGTTCGAAGTCGTCTGAAAATTCGTTCATTTAATCCTCCCGCTGAAGCGAATTTTAATTCTTCTGTTGAAGCAATAGAAGGAGCACTGACGTGCGATGAGAGAAACGATGTTCAGTTAGTTGCAGTCGGATATATTTTCTGGTTTAAATGAAACATTTCATCAACATTTTCTCCATTATATTCGAAAGTAAAATGACGTAAAGTACAGTAGGCACAAGGGTTGTCAGCTGTCAGGATGTCCGGGCGGTCTAAAGCGCCAGACTCAAGTTTCAAAACTTTCTCC